CCAGGACAAAAAACAATGGAAACTCAAGATCAGTGTGCTGTAAGGCAAAGCATTAGTGAGAGAATCAGAGGATGTAGAGAGTGACACCTCAGAATCTGCTAATGTTACCTTAGAATCTTTCTCCAGGTTCACTGCTTCAATGGTATTCTGCTAGTCTTTCTTCGTAATAAATTAAGAGTGATAACACTTTTCATTTACTTCTCTTAGCTTCATGTTTTCGATTCATGGTACTTTCACATCACATACCTCTTGTAGATTGTCTTGATCATGTATACTGCTAAAGGAAGGACTTGTATAATATCAAACAGATATTTGAATAATCAGTTCTCTGGCTGTTTGAATGAAATTTCAAACCAAGATTTCTGGTTAGAGCAAGGTCTAAATGAACTGGGCCTCAGACAGTCGAGATATTTAGAATTTCAAAACAATCACTTGAGACAGGAGGGGTATGTTTTATTGTATCTTTTGCACATAAAGATTTCACTAATGGCCAATCTGAATGAGGGAAAGGGGGCAGTAGGGAGGGAGAATTTGAGACCCCCTCATCAGAGAAAACAGCAGAAAGACATGGTAAACTTGTTTCTGCTTTTCCTGTGGGAAATTTGATTGGGGGTGGAGGAGGGATTGTTGAGTGGGGCTATGTACTCATCATCCATGAAGGTGTACCTTTCTGAACTTGAAGGTACAGTTAAGATAGAGCAAAAGGTGTAAACAAGTATCTGATAGTTTCAGATGGTTAATTTACATCTCAAGATAATGAGCAACTTTACTTATACTGTGCTGTTCCTTCACCTCTCCTCTTCCTCTTAGGGTTGTTCTTCCCAAACTGCAATTACAATTCAGGAGAGAGCCTGAAATATGATACGTAATGCAGCATAAGCATGGTGTGTTTTCATGGCATGTCAATTTTACTTGTAGATTTTGGAATATTTTTGTATCAAATATGAATATATTAAGTATGTACTTAATGGGATAAAAAAGACACATGGAGGGGTTTTTGTATATACTTTTTACTGAAATAAATGTTAATACGGAAAAGTATGTAAAATCATAAATGTAGAGCTTAATGAATGTCACAGAGAACAAGCCATGTAACTACTAGTTTTTTTGTGTGATATCAATAGGCTTTCCTTTTATTACTGTTTGTATGGTATATCTTTCTATTATTTTGCTTTCAACTTTATAAATATATTTAATATATGTCTCTTGTAAGCTGCGTGTAGATGGGTTTATTTTTCTCGAGTCTGACTGGCAATCTTTATCTTTTAATTGGAACTTCTAGTCTGTTTGCTTTTAATATAATCATTGATATGTTTGTTTTTAAATCAACCACCTTACTATCTATTTTCTATTTGTCTCATCTGTATATATTTTTTATATTGCCTTGATTTGGGGTATTTTCCCATTTCATTTTTTCTATTTGAATTATATTCTTTTGCTGTTTGTTTGTTTAGAGATTATATCATACATCCTTGGTCTTTTAAAAGCTATTGTTAGTATTTTTTTTAACAGCTCCTGGACAGTGAAATGACTTTAGAGCTCTTAAACTCTGTGGATCTTCCTTACACTTTTTGATGCCAGTTTTGTAATTTGTTTTAATGGTAATAATACTAACATTTTGTGAGACTTTCAAAAAGGTTTTATATAGCCAGTATTTATTTGGATTTACTTACATACATACATACCCTTTTTATGACACTCTCCCCCTTCCTACATCTCTGAATTTTTATGTGAAATTCTTTTCCTTCTGCCTGAAGAATTCGAGTAGACCTTTTAGTGATAAATTCACTTAGGTTTTGTTTTTCTGAACGTGTTTTTAAGGCTCATTTTTGAAGGACATTTTTGCTGGATACAGAATGCTAGGTTGGTAGTTCTGTTCTTTTAGCACTTTAAAAATAGTTCACTGCAGTCTTGATTCTGTTGTTTCTGCTAAAATGTCAGCTGTCAATCTTATTACACCTTTTAAGTTTTTTTTCTCTGTCCTTGGTTTTCAGTAGTTTGACTGATGTACTTAGGTAATGTTTTCTTTTTCTTTGTAATCTTTATTGGATTTTGTAGATTTTTTTTTTTTTTTTTAATGTGAGGGTTGGTACTCTGTCAGTTTGGAAAATATTCAGTCATTATTTCTTTAAATACCACTTCTCCTGAGTTATACGTCTCCTCCCTCAAACGTTCCAGTTAACATTTAACATTAGACCCTTTCACTTTATTCTTTTCTTTTTTTTTTTTTTTTTGCTCAATTCCTTTTCAATCCATTTGTTTTTCCATACTTCATTCTGCATATTTTTTTCTGACCTAGCTTTTTAGGTTATTAATTTTTTTCTTCAGCTGTGACTATTCTATGCCTAATTTCTTAATCTTGCCATTTAATTTCTTGACTTTATTAAGAATAGTTATTTCAAAGCTAATGATATGAAAATCTTGTCTTTTGGCTCTGTTTCTATTGTCTACTTTTTTGTGTTTAGCCATAATTTTCATCTTGATGCCTGGTTGTTTTGCACATTGTGTATCAAAATTTTGTCCATGTTGTATACCAAAAAAAAAAAATAAAAATGTAGTAATAATTTCAGGTTCTTCATGATTTTATATTTCTCCAGGAGAATATTTTTGCAGTTAGGCTACGGTGGATCATCCAGTCAGTGTCTGAGATGACTCCAACGTAGACTTGAGCCCTTGTAAAGATTGGTCTATTTTTGTTTTGTTCTTATTCCCAGATTGTAGCCTTTCAGAGTCCTTGATAAGAACTTAGGTGTTTCTCAGGACCTCTTCTCCTAAGCAGACTTTGGACATTAATTTTTGCTTAGCTTTATTGCCCTTATTGTTTTCTCTTTCAGAATCAGTCATGGTCTTGAGGATAGAGCTGTGCCAAATGTCTGGGCTGCCTCTCTCCTTTCTTCTTGCAGATTTTGGCCCTACTAATTCTCACTGCCTTGATATCTTACCAGTGTCTTCAAACGTATATTTATATTTTTTTACATTTTGTTCAGTATTTCTGATTGTACTTGGTTGTTCTAAAAGAACCTAGTCGGCCATTCCAGACATATATGAAGTTGTTTTGTTTTTATTGTTGTAGTGGTGATTGTTAGTTTGTACCTTTTGCTTTCAAAAAATATTTTAAAGAAATTTTGATTTTTAGGGTTATATTTCCCAGACCTCTACTTTGACTACCCATTGCCCTCTGCTGTTAGTGGTGATTAAGTGAAGAGTTTGAGAAATGTAATGGAAAGGGCATGGGATTTTGTTTTGTTTTGTTTTGTTTTTGAGACAGAGTCTCTGTCACCCAGGCTAGAATATAGTGGCATGATCTCGGTCCTGCAGTCCTGCCTCTGAGGTTCCAGTGATTCTCCTGCCTCAGTCTCCCAGGTAGCTGGGATTACAAGCAGGCATCACGATGCCTGGCTAACTTTTGTATTTTTAGTAGAGATGGGGTTTCACCATGTTGGCGAGGCTGGTCTTGAACTCCTGACCTCAGGTGATCCACCTGCCTTGGCCTCCCAAATTGCTAGGATTACAGGCATAAGCCACCATGCCTGGCTGGGCATGAGCTTTTTAAGCACGCAGACCTACAAACTGTGGCTCCTCCTGATTGTGTCAACCTATATGAGTTACCTGTTTAAAATTACCTTTTTAAAATTTCTCTTTCCTCATCTGCAGATGGGTTTAGTGAGAATGAAAAAGGAAATTGAAATTAAATTTTATTTAAAATGAAATAATGTATGGACAGCTTCTGGTATAAATAAATGCTTAGTAAACTTACTATTTTAATTATCTTGAGGAATAGGAAACTAGAGTTAAGACCAATCTTATAAGGAATTTAATAGAAATTTATAACTTCACCATGTAGTAATTGTTAACAAACCCTTAAAAAGGGCCTTTATGTTTGGTTTTGGGGCAGTTTAACACGCATCTGTGTCCCAGGTACCCTACTTAATCTCGTTAATATTATAGATTCCATCCAAGATCTTGCAGTATAGAGCAGAGGTCAGCAAACTTTTTCTTTTTTTCTGAGACAAGAGAGTTTCACTCTTTCGCCCAGGCTGGAGTGCAGTGCTGCAGTCTTGGTACACTGCAACCTCCACCTTCTGAGTTCAAGTGATTCTTCACCTCAGCTTCCCAAGTAGCTGGGACTACAGGTGCATGCCATCATGCCCAGCTAAATTTTTTACCATGTTGTCTTGGCTGGTCTCAAACTCCTGACTTCAAGTCATCCACCCACCTTGGCCTCCCAAAGTGCTGGGATTACAGGCATGAGCCACTGTGCCTAGCCAGCAAACTTTTTCTATAAAGGGCTAGGTAAGGGTTTTTGAGACGTATTGCCTCTATTGTAGCTATTCACTCTGCTGTTTTAGGGCAAAAGTAGCCATAGTCAATATATAAATGAACGGGCATGGGTGTGCTCAAATAAAACTCTATTTACAAGAACAGGTGGCAGGCCAGCTTGGTCCATGGGTCCCCAAACTGTGCTGACCCTAGTCTTCCACAAACTAAAACTGTTTTTTACATTTGTAAAGGATTGTTTAAAAAGAAGATGCAACAGAGACCACATGAGACCCAAAAAGCCAAAAATACTTCATTTCTAGTTCTTTACAGAAAGGGTTTTGCTAACTTTTGGGTTGGAGAATGGGTGATGGTTGCTACCAAAGAAAAGGAAGTCGACTTCAGTACTCAGAGTTAACAGCAAAGAAAGAAAAACAACATGACAAGTAGTCTTAGATCCAGAAAGGATCCTGATGGGAAGAATAGGAAATTCTGTGTGCAATTCTGACATACTTATCCATACCCCACCCCAACTATGACTGTCCTACTAATTAATCTGTTTTTATGAATTTTCCATAGTGTGCTGTTTAAGCAGCAAATAGAGGGATAAACTCATAGATAATAAATAGCTAAATACTGTTAGAAATTAACTTTCCATTATAGCTAAATGTTACCAGAATTTTTACTCCTGTTATATATCTAGTTTTGATTTTATAACATCGTGCTAATTTTTGTTCTTACAGAAATACACTTTCGGGAAATGGCCTCTAAATCCTGGCTGAATTTTTTAACCTTCCTCTGTGGATCAGCAATAGGATTTCTTTTATGTTCCCAGCTATTTAGTATTTTGTTGGGAGAACACGGTGACATCCAGCCTAACGTTCTTCATAATGATCCTCATGCGAGGCATTCAGATGATAATGGACAGAATCATCTAGAAGGAGAAATGAACTTCAATGCAGATTCTAGCCAACATAAAGGTATGATTTACTTTATTAAGGAGTAAATATAAGCAGTATTTTAGTCTAAATTTTGTCATATCCCTGTCTATATCTGTTGATTAAAATGGGCTATATATTCCAGATACTAAATAACAATTCTTGGTTTGCCTTGAGAGAAGGAATTGCTAAAACCCAGATTTATTTAGGGAATATTAATTTTGAATTAATTTTTAAGTAGAAATGGTTCAGAAACCATGATTTGGGGAAGGGCATAACTATTCAGATTAGATTTGTTTCTGAAAATGTTTTTTTAGGTCCAGTTTTGTTATATGTGTGTCTTTGGTTTTTGTTACTTGTTTTGGTCATAGCTTTTGCTTAAGTCTTATTTTCCTAGAGAAACTTGAGGTATATATAAATTTCAATTTATATTTTTATAGTTAATATAACTCTTTTTTTTCCTCAAGAGGCACAAAGAACAAGGAAGTTAAAAACCAAGGATGCGTTCTAAAGACTTCATTTTCTCCTAGCCTCCTACCTCTAACCAGATTTTCTCAGTTGAGTTATTTATGTGTCCCTTAAGTGTTATCTCCAAGTTTCTGTCCTTTAGCTGTTTATCTGTGTGAGATCATCAACCCTCATAATTTTAATTTCCATCTATTTCTTACTGTCTTTAGCCCAGTTCCAGACATTGTGGGAAGACATTAACACAATGCAAAGATCTCTGCAAAATATGGTTTGACAGAAAATAATATAAGTAGCTTGAAAACTATTGGAATTCTGGGATGCAGAGGGTCCACTATTCAGAGTTGCTTCTCTTCTCTTCCCAGTAATAATTACTTCTTCACTACCTCTCAATCAGAGGTTGAAGGGTGAGATTTCAAAGCCTGGTTCCGTTTTCTCAACTAGCAAACACATGCATACTATGTCATATTTTGGGATTGTTTATATAACAGTAATTCAGCTCTGAGCAGGTGCTCTGTGTTCTTACAGAACAGTTTGATCATTGTGTGTTTGCTCTGTAGCATAGCTACATGGCTTTAGATGATCAACTGGAGCCAGATTTCCCTACTAACAGTAAGCCGTACTAGGCCTCACTATAGGCATGTGTATTAGATACATACTTGTCCAGCTCAGTGGCCTACAACATGTGGGGTATGCTAAAAGTTTGTCTACTCCCTTCAGACTCAGCATGTGTAAATTGAGTCTCCTTTTCCTTCCTACTCCTAGAAGTTGCTCTTCCTCCTCTATTCTTTATTTTATATAGCTCATTAGCATCTGTCAGTGCCAGAAATTATGAAATCATGGTAGGTGATTGCCTTCACATGCTAGCCAATTCCATTTATCAGTACATTCTATGATACTTCTTTACCATTTTTCATCTTTTCCTCTTAGTCCACAGTGCATTTCTGATTCAAACCTTCAGCTATACCCATGTACCTGCAGTCAGCGAAACTTCACCATTCCTTTTGGTGAACTTATAACCTATTTTCGGTGTCATCTCTTTATTTTTATCTTTCTTTTTGTTCTACCCAGGTCCCTATATACTGCTCTGTAGGATTTATTAGCCACTACTTTCTTTTCCTTCAGCACATTGAATCCTTTGTTCATACCTCTATAATAACATGTCTTACTAGTTAGCAGTTACTGGTTTGTGTGTCAGGTTCAGGCTCCCTGAATGGACTGACTTTCTCTGCAGCAGGAAATGTGTCTTACTCATTTTATTCATCTCCTGTGCCAGCCCATGCCCGGTACAAAGTAATTAGTGAATGAAAAATTATTTATCAAGCGGCAGTGGACAAACCTGTCTTGCCTGAATGAAACAGATTGGGGATTCTTGCATTCAGTATTTCTGTCCATTCAAGGTTTGGTATATTTGTATAGCTAAGAGATTGGGCTCCTCAAGGATATGAGATGTCTATGCTTTCTGACTGAAAGTAAGGTGATTTTGTCTGCTATTGTCCTTTTGGATTGTGAATCTTGATATTCAGAGGGACATGATAATTTTTTTTTTTTTTTTTTTTTTTTTTTTTTTTTTTGCAGTGGCAGGATCTTGGCCCACTGCAACCTCCGCCTCCCGGGTTCAAGTGATTCTCCTGCCTCAGCCTCCCGAGTAGCTGGGATTACAGGCGCCCGCTACTACGCCCGGCTAATTTTTTGTATTTTTTTTTTTTTTAGTAGAGACAGGGTTTCACCATGTTGGCCAAGCTAGTCTCAAACTCCTGACCTCATGATCCGCCCGCCTCAGCCTTGCAAAGTGCTGGGATTACAGGCATGAGCCACTGCGCCCAGCCGGGACATGAGAATATTTTTATGTTCCACCCAGCTTTTCCCATTATTTCCTCTCAGTTGGTTAACTAGTATATTATGCCTTCATTGTTAATTTCTTATAGGACTAAGTAACTTACTGTTTGACCTTAATTTTAAGCACATACTTCATCAGGATACTGCCCAGAATATTGCTACTGAAAGTCAGTTCATAGACTCATTCTGGTCCTATAACTAAAGAATGGCTGCTTATTTGGGAGTAAGCAGAAACTTTTATTGTAATTGGAGTAATTTTGTCTGAAGCTAAAAATAAAAATATAGGGCTTGTGTTTTATATTTCTGTTAGTTTTGTTTTTCTTATAATTCATTTTTATCCTATTTACACAGTATAGACCGGTATTAGAAATAAAAATTGGCCTTTCACCACAGATAGCTTAAGAAGTACTCATCTAGAATCTCATCATTGAGCTCTTCCTGTACACCAGTGTTACTCAAAATGCGGTCCTGGCCTGACAGTTTGTAAACTGTTTGTCTGCACAAGATAATGAGGTTACACTAGGATGTAAATCAGTTTTAAGCTCACTGCTTAGTTAAGTGGACATTTTGGTTGGTTGGTTCTAATGGTAGGCCTTTTTCAAAGTAATGTGTTGCTTTATATTCTGGTATAAGCTCCTTATTTCTTTGCAAACCAGTAGTTTAAAGAGCACTGCTCTAGTCTTGGAATTGCCACGTCTACCATTGTTCTTTTCTGTTTTTGATTGGTGGATTTACATTTTGGAATGAGGTATGTTACTATCAGGAAGTAATCTCAACTCCTGTGCTTTGAACTTTTACCACCTCTGGGTACTTGTAGAAATTCTTTATAGTTGATTCTTGTGAACTTCAAAAATGAACTGCCACTTCAGCAGCATGTCTTTCCTGCTCTTCAGAAACTCATTCAGAGCAGTTAGAAATTTCTGTCAATAATCTATTAAAAACCAGCTGCTTTCTTCTATGAAGTGCCAAGCAGAGACTATTTAAGGCAGCATTTAGCATGGCTATGAAGCACCAGGAGAACTTATTAAAATGCTGATTCTGATTCAGTGGGTCTGGGTTGGGGCCTAAGATTATGCATTTCTAACAAGCTCCCAGGTGATGCTGTTGCTTTTAATTGGTAAACTACAGTTTGAGAAGAATTTAGATTATAATGTCAACTCTTATTAGCTCCAGTGATGTCTTGGATAACACTGACGTGAAACCAATAAATCAGAATGTCAGTTTACATTAGGATGAGTTTTGCTTTCCTTTGGCTAAATCACTAATAGAGGGATAAATAGGAGGACCTTTGAAATTAGGAAAATGCTTTCTTCAGTATAATTTATTAATATTTGGATTTTACATCTATGTAAATAACTTTTTTAAATGTTTTGTTTAATAGATGAGAACACAGACATCGCTGAAAACCTCTATCAGAAAGTTAAAATTCTTTGCTGGGTTATGACCGGCCCTCAAAACCTAGAGAAAAAGGCCAAACATGTCAAAGCTACATGGGCCCAGCGTTGTAACAAAGTGTTGTTTATGAGTTCAGAAGAAAATAAAGACTTCCCTGCTGTGGGATTGAAAACCAAAGAAGGCAGAGATCAACTATACTGGAAAACAATTAAAGCTTTTCAGTATGTTCATGAACATTATTTAGAAGATGCTGATTGGTTTTTGAAAGCAGATGATGACACATATGTCATACTAGACAATTTGAGGTGGCTTCTTTCGAAATACAACCCTGAAGAACCCATTTACTTTGGGAGAAGATTTAAGCCCTATGTAAAACAGGGCTACATGAGTGGAGGAGCAGGCTATGTACTAAGCAAAGAAGCCTTGAAAAGATTTGTTGATGCATTTAAAACAGACAAGTGTACACATAGTTCCTCCATTGAAGACTTAGCACTGGGGAGATGCATGGAAATTATAAATGTAGAAGCAGGAGATTCCAGAGATACCACTGGAAAAGAAACTTTTCATCCCTTTGTGCCAGAACACCATTTAATTAAAGGTTATCTACCTAGAACCTTTTGGTACTGGAATTACAACTATTATCCTCCTGTAGAGGTAAGTTTAGAAATTTTATTACTATCTTAATACTTAGACTGACTGAATTTTGTTGATAAAAACGTGTTAATATGTGTATGTTTCCTTAGTACCAATAATGAGGACTCTTTCTTATTTTTGTTTTTGAGACAGAGTCTCACTCTGCCTCCCAGACTGTAGTGCAGTGGCGCATCTCCGCTCACTGCAAACTCCACCTCCCAGGTTCACACTGTTCTCCTGCCTCAGCCTCCCGAATAGCTGGGACTACAGGTGCCTGCCACCACGCCCGGCTAATTTTTTGTATTTTTAGTAGAGATGGGGTTTCCAAGACCATTAGCCAGGATGGTCTCCTGGCTTTGTGATCCACCAGCCTCGGCCTCCCAAAGTGTTGGGATCATAGGCATGAGCCACCACACCCGGCCCTTTCGTAGTCTTTTTAAATAGAGTGACAGTATAACAAAATAGATGAGAACAGGGACGTCAGCAGTAGTCACTTAGCAAACATCTCTTGGTTGTATGCCAGGCACTGAGAATGTAGAAGTAAATCACAGCCAAATTCCAGTTCTCGTGAACCTTACATTCTGGATGAGGAGATATACAGTAAACAGGCAGACTTATAAAGATAAAATAGGATTTTAGTAGTAAGTGCCCTGAAGAAAAATAAGCCAAGTAAAGGGATGTAGAGTGACCCAGAATGGGATGGAGTCCTCTGGTTTGGGTGATTAAGGAAGGCCTCTTAAAGAGGTGACTTTTGAGCAGAAACCTGAGTGATATTAGAGAGCAAGCTGTGTGAAGATCTGGGTAAAGAGCCTTCTAGTCATCAGGAGGACTTAGTGGAGGTTCAGAAAGACCTAGAGTCAAATCCTGCTCTCCCACTTAATAGCCGAACGACTTGTCTGACTTCTGAGCCTTAGTTTCCTCATTTGTAAGATGGACATAATGTACTTGTCTTATTTAGTTGTAATTACAACATAGTACAGCCCTTCACACAGTAAGCATTTAATAAGCCTTGGCTCACATTCCTGAGAATTGTATCTAAAATACATTATTTTATGAAGTATTCCAGTTGTACAAATATTTCAGAATATGCATTGTACTTATGCCCCAATCTTTACCAAATATTAATCTTTTACCACATTTGTTTCAGAGTTTTTTAAAGAAAAAAATGCTGTAGTTGAGGCCTGTGTACCCTCTCCAACCTCCTTCCCTGGAGTTAACCACTGTCATGAATTTAATATTACTCATTAACATGAATGTTTTATATTTTTCTACATGTTTATGTATCAATAACATATAATATTGTTTTTCAGATTTTTAAATAAGCATCTTTCTACAACTTCCCCTTTTCATACAACATTGAGATTTATCAATGTTAATTATGTATGTGCTATGTTCACTATTATAAGCATTGCTTCAGTGGATAATTGAATGAGACCGGGGATCATGAAACCTAGATCTCTATGCCTTGTTTTCTCTGGACCTAACATATAAATAATAGACTTGATGCTACTACTCTCATCTTCATAAGGCAATGCTTTCAGATCATCATCTGGAACAGTGATTCTCAACCCAGGGCAATTTTGCCTTCAGAGGACATTTGGCAAGGTCTGGAGACATTTTTGGTTGTTACAGCTAGGAGGCTGCTACTGGCATCTAATGGGTAAAAACCCACTACATTATAAACCTACTAATTGCTAAACATCCTAAAATGCACAGGACAGCCTCCTACAACAAAGAATTACTCTTGCCCAAAATGTCAGTAGTACCATGGTTCAGAGATCCTGTCCTAGAACATCTGACCCGAGCTTTAGGTAATCAGCTTTAAAAGGAAACTTTTCATAATCTGTTTTTCTGTTTTAGTGAGAGTACCACTTTGGATGCTTGTTTGGTGTAAACTTTTCTTAATATATTCTGACCATTCCAAGATGACTTGATCTTTTCCTTTCTTAATTCTGTATCCTTTTCCCATATAAAAAATTTACCCAAATTCAAGAATATAAACATGTAGCAAATACATCCAAATGCACATAAGATATTACTAAGAGTATCTGATGTTGGGTATACATACAAGAGTAGCAAAGGGACATCATAATTGTCATTATTTTGTAAACAGTAAAATAGCCTCCCTTTCAAAAGTACTGCCTATAATTCCTGTTTGCAAATAAAGTATACCTAACAATATGCTTTATATGAACAAAATAAATATAGTGCATCCTTTATTTACATTGTAGTGGTTTATTAAATGGATGGCACATTTGTTCTTTCTATAAAAATTTATCCAATTATGTTGAAGAACATAAAACAGAATTCAGAGTACCAAAATTGACCCATCAATCTGACATTGCCTGTTCTCCATCAGGAGATTCTTACATAAACCCAACGTGAAACTAAAATTCTATTATTATTCATCTATCATTTAGTAAGTTTTCTTCCCCCTAAATGAGTTTAAATCTTATACTTTTTTTTCTATGTACTAATTACTGAAAATACAGAAAATTTTTATCTAGCGAGTCAGGGTAAAAGATACTCTAATTCATGAAAGAGTTACATTCCTAAATTTCTTGTTCAGAACTGACTCTTAAGCAGTTCCCTTCCCACTCCACCTTCTTAGTAATAGACTTTTCACCAGAGAAGTTGCAGTGAGTCTTAATATGGTAGATTTAAAATATATATGTAATTGTTTATGTATATCTCTCTACATGAAAAATTGACTTTTCTGTAGGTCAGAAGTGGTCAAATATGATTTATTTTATTCTTCAGTTTCATTTACATTATTCTGTCTGAAACATATTAGTACATAATTGAGGTAGAGAGCTCCTGATTTTTTAAAATTGTTAACTAATTATTCTACTGCCATTTTTTAACTCATTACTGATTTAAAATATCTCGTTTATCGTACACGATAGCCCTTACTTATAGTAGGATCTATATCTGGGATTTCAGTTCTATGCCATTGTTCTAATTTGATTTTGGCCCAGCACCATATTATTTTGAACCTTGTAGCTTTACAGTAATTTTAAGTTATTATTCTAAGGGCAAATTAACTCTTCTTTTTTTCTAAGTGTTTTGGCAACTCATTTCTTTATCTTTGCATACAAGCTCATTAATTTAGGGATAACTGCCAAGGATTTTTTTTAAGTTGCCTTTTAGGTCCTTTGGTCAAGTTTTATAAACCATTTCCATAGGTACGCAATATTTCTGTTACTGTTCTACTTGGGCTTTTTAAAAACTTAACCTTTTTACTGATATATATGAAAACTTATTTGTTTGGTTTTCTTTTTAAGCATCTTTAAAATCTGGCTTTGTAACTGAATTCCCTATTCTGATGATTCTTCGCTTGAGATTCTTGAGTTTTTTGGGTAACCATAATTGTCTGCTAGCTCTTGTTTTCTAATAATTATAGCTTTTTTCTTTTATTGTCTTTTATTGCATAAATGCCTAACAGAATCCTAACTATCCAGTAAAATATAAATAAGAGTAACATAATTAATGCAGTAAATCTTATCAAAAATATTATTTTAGAGAACATAAAAATTGCTTCCAGAGGTCAGCAATTTAAAACTATTACTGGTCTAGTCCTTAAGTTTAATATTCACTGGACAGGATAGTAGTCACTAAGGTACATGTGGTTATTGAGCACTTGAAATTTGGCTAGTCCAAATTGAGACATGCCATAAATAAAATACACACCTGGTTTCAAGAGTGGTTTAATTAATCATTGTAAAACTATTGCATGTTAAAACAATATGATGAAATTTTTCCGTTAAATAAATTTCATTTTTTTTTCTTTTTTTTACATTTTTAATGTGGCTACTATATGGCTCACATATCTGTTGGACAGAGCTAGTTTAGATAATCACAAGTTGACCTATCTGGTTATTTTTCCTATTTGCTTTTATTCTGGTATTTCCTAAAGGTGCAAGACTAGGTTGTCTAAGAATCCACATATCCAGTGTGTGTTTCAAAGGAAAGTTCAGAGATAACAGCAGAGAAAATGCAGCGGACAGTTTGATAACTTTTACTACACTATAAGCTACATACTTCCAAACATGAATTACTAGATTTATTAAATATTCAATCAATATGCATCTTCTCTTGGAACTTGCTAGACTGTCTCCCTCATTCTTTACAAAGATGTCAGATGGAGCCTGAAGTTTTGTTGGAGTCACCTGGATGACACCAACGTTCTCCAGATACCAATTCTGACTCTAGGTTGACTGCTTAATTCGTCTCTTTTTGTCTTCTTAATTTTATTGCTTTCTTGTTCATTGTATTGTTGTTTTATTTTAAACTTTGTTCTCATACCAACCCTATTAGGAATTTATGAGAATTACATAATTGGACAAAGGTTTAAATCTGACCTACCTGAGGGCCACCTGATACGATTTTTCAGTCAATAATAGCTAACATTTATTGAGCACTTATTTTAAGCAAAGGGTAATTCCAAGCATTTTACACACATTGTCTCCTTTAAATAACCACCTTTTACAGATGTGGAAATTGAATCTTATAGAGAATAAATAGCTTACTCAAGGTCGTATACTAGCCCACAAAATTTGGGTTGAAACCCAAGTCTAGCTTGAGAGCTTTGTCTCAAATACTGTACTGTTTGGGTTGATATATATAGATGAAGTGTATTGGGTTGTAGACACCTAATGGGCAAGGCTTTGTAGTCACTGAATGCCCCAGAGGTATCTTTCCGAGTCTGAGCCACGCAAAAAATTACAGTGAGAAAATTAGGAAGAGAAAGCAGATGTTGGAGGAGATTTATCCTTTGTATGGCTGCTCCTTTGATTTGAAGAAATCTCAATAATTTTATCTGCTAAAGAGTGTGAGAGAATATTATTTCAGTTAAAAATACTTTCCACAATTTCACTTGGTTTCACCAATTTCAATTAGTTTTAAATCATTAGGACATCTAAGTAAACTACTGATTTATTCCACAGGTCTAGTGTATTAGGTTCCTTTGCTTTACCTTGCCATCTTTAATGTTTGCATTCTTTTAAAATTACATTGTCCTTTATAAGTATGTAAATATTGTATGCTAGCAATGTGCTGTTTATTAACAATGCCTGTTTCCACTACTTTTTTAGGGTCCTGGTTGCTGTTCTGATCTTGCAGTTTCTTTTCACTATGTTGATTCTACAACTATGTATGAGTTAGAATACCTCGTTTATCATCTTCGTCCATATGGTTATTTATACAGATATCAACCTACCTTACCTGAAGATATACTAAAGGAAATTAGTCAAGCAAACAAAAAGGAAGATACAAAAGTGAAGTTAGGAAACCCTTGAAAGAAAATCATGAGTGAACAAAGGTAAAATGTCTAGCATTGCACTGAAAAAGGACTTCTGCATTTCTGACATAGAACACTGGAATCCCAGTGAGGAATTCTAAGTGAACATTCCTTATAGAAACCTTTCACATGAATGACTATAAACTGAAGCTTTAAATGAGCTGTGAAGTCTGTTAAAATGTGTTTTGATACAGTAATATATAAATATATCTATATATATGAAGAACTTGTGTTTTTAAAATGGTGGCCAGGTAGAGGAATTAGAAAAGAGATTTTGTTGCCTGTTTTCTGACCATCTGTATTATTGTCACTGAGAAACTAAAATAATTAAATTTACTAAAACTACACTGCACCATGTTAGTAATAAACAGATCTGCCTTAAAGAAAATTTTAGAAAGAAATATTGTTGCTCAGTGTTGTTAATACAGCTCAAGAATTGAGTTTATATTTGCAGTATGATATAAATGATCCACCCCCCTCCACACACACACACACACACACACACACACACACACACAGAGTTTTTGTCTGATGAAAATGTTGCTGTGATTATTTATAATTGGTAGTATTTCTTCCAGAAGAAGCTAAAATAAAACTGGCACTTACCCTGAAGTGCATTAATAAAACCACACTTTAAAATTTTCATGGGCCTTGACTATATTATATACTTGATTCTAATTGGTAATCTTTTACGGAATCTCTGTTGTCTCTCTTCTAAATATGTTTAGCCACTCTTGAATACCATTCTCCACTATTAATTAACTCAAACCATTCATAGCATTTGTAAACATGTATTTTACAATATTTGTTCCCAAATTTACCCATTGTTAATTATGAGTAACTAATAAATTTAATGCTATTTGAGGATGCTTTTCTTATAACAGTGCCACTCTCAGGAATTACTGACATTTTAAATTGATTATTTTAAACTCTTTCCAACTACATAGTTATGGTTTATTTCATTGTCATCCTGTTGAGATGAGAACTTGTTTGTGCCTTTCATAACTTGTTTAAAGCAGAGTTTTAAAATTCATTTATAGGATCTGAGGTGACTTAGTTACAGTGGCAAGATTTTGACAAGAATTAAAAACAATAGAAAATGCAGAGTGCTTAAACAAAAATGTTATATATTGAAAGAGTAGATACTTAATTTATAAATAAGTCTGAAGGTTGATGCTATTTTGGGATAATTGTTTTGCTAATGGATAGTTCTAACAACGCAGAATACCTAGTCAAGACTGTCATCAAAAACATTCACAAATGTTTCATTCTATTTTTAGTGACTCTGTTTAAAGAGTTTCTGAAGGGAAAGAAATTTTTTATTTTTATTATGTTTAGCAGTACTCAGTGTGTCATAACAGAATATTTTACAGACTTTCTATGAGATTATTTTTATGGTACAAAAGATTTACATTTCCCTTATGTTTATCATTATGCCAATTTTACATAGCTGTCGTGCCACTGACTCTGCTATTTAGCTAAGTAATTCCTTTTTTCGGAGACCGTCTCACTCTGTCCCCCAGGCTGGACTGCAGTGGTGCAATTCTCCTGCCTCAGCCTCCCGAGTAGCTGGGATTATAGGCATGTGCCACCACACCCAGCCACTTTTCATATTTTTAGTAGAGATGGGGTTTTGCCACGTTGGCCAGGCTGGTCTTAAACTCCTGAACTCAAGTAATCCACCCGCCTCGGCCTCCCAAAGTGCTGGGATTACAAGTGTGAGCCACAGCGCCCAGCTAGCTAAGTAATTTATATTTATTGTGCCAAAACATGTCAAAATCATGACCTCTTTGAATGGTATATTTGAGAGGATGTTCATTTCATTGGCTAACCATGGACTACTCTGCCCACATAGTGAAAACATGCACCAGTTTTTACCTATTATCATGGTAGTATCATCTGCCAAAATTTCAAGGCATTCATTTGATTCTTTGAACAACTCTTCACCATGGTGTGTACATGAATTTTCATATGTGTTACTTGACTAGAAGTATAAATGGTTTACTATAAATATCCAAAAACCTTAAGATTTGCTCATAGGAAATGAATGTTGTGATGAATCCTGGGCTCTAGAGTCAGACTTGCTTGGATTTAAATTCTTGCTCCAACACTTACTGTTTTTGTAACCTTGAACAATTTTACTTAATCTCTCTGTGTCTCAGTTTCCTCATCTGTAAATTAGGGATGATAATACTGCCTACCTCACAGGATTTTTATGAGGATTAAATAAATGTAAGGTTCTTAGAACACTGTCTGTCCCAGAATAGGGAGCAATAAATAGAAGACTGTATTATTATTCTGTTACCTTGGAGTGTAAATACTGCATTTAAGTGAAGGAAAAATTTGCTTTGACCAGATAAGGAAATAATAGCTATAATTTATCAAGTGCCAACTGTATGCTAGGTACTGTACTTAGATAATCTGTGTATAATAGTGTTAATCCTCAAAATTTGGGTGTTTTTCCCCTATTATAGATAAGGAAACTGAGACTCAGAGAATTAAAGTAACTTTGTCACTGTCACAAAGCTAGTAAGTAACAGAGGTAGGATTTATATTCAAACCCTATGTGTTCATTTGAACCGTCTCAGGCTTGGGGTTATTCATTTAGCATTATTTCCATTTTTATGTATATGTTATGTGATATCTGATACATTGGCCAGTAATAGTCAAATTAACCCAGCCAAATTGTCAAAGTGATTCTTAAACTGTGGTTCTCACACTTGCCCGGATGTTGTTAAATGCAGATCTGAAAACCCCAATCTCAGAAATTCTAATTTAAGCATGGGGCCCAAGAGTATGCATTCTTACCAGATACCCTAGGGCAGCGATTGTCAAAAGTGTGGTCCCAGCAAACAGCATTAACATCACCTGGGAACTTTGTTGGAAATGCAGCCTCTCTCAGGGCTCCATCTCAGATCTACTAAATCAGATACTCTAAGGGCAGGGGCTAGCAGTTGTGTTTAAGCAAACTCTGCAGGTGTCTTTCTTATCCTAGTTTGAGAACCAGTACCCAACAACCTACGTGATTTTGGTGCAAATAGTGTTTGAAACACACGAAGATTACTGCCCCATTACTAAGACATTTTTCAAAAAGCATGTTTTAAATCACTGTAGTACAGGATCACACTGTATTAAATCTAAAATAAAGATAACTTAAAGGGTCATTGGATCATTCATTTTGGCCAAATTTTTAGCTTCTCCAAAGTGACTAATATTAGGGCCCACAATAAAATCTGTAATTCTCCAAGTTTAGTAATTTTATGTTGAGGCAGGAAGGGTTCATTAAGTACTAATAAGTACATAATTTATTAAAAGCATACATAAGTGTCATCAAAAAGTTCCACAATTGTTAAAAAAAAAATTGAAGTAGTAAATGCTATTTTATAACATACATTTTTCTGCTAATTCATTGTTTTGTTTGACCTAATAAAGCAAAAGAAAAACAAAAAAGCAATTCTCCAAGTACTTCATAGAGCACATAAAATCAGATTTCATGATGATGATGTATTCACTATCTTTTAGATTAAGATCTTTGTTATTTGGTAAATGATTTTAGTATGGTTTCAAAACAAGGCTTTTGATGTCTTATGCTCTCTAATAATGGTATGCTTGTATTTTCTAGTGGAAAGTTCATAAAGCAGATTTTTGTCCCAGTTTGCTTTCAAATACGAATTTCAGAGGAGTTTTTCTTACTGTAATGAGGTATGAAAATAAATCACTGATCAGCTCTTAATATTTTTTTAATATGGAATTGGATTTGAGCATTAAATTTGCTAACTGGTTAGTTTCACAGTTTTCTTGAATATTAATTTTTCCCTTGAGACTGTCAAACTATAGTTATTACCAGGTTGATGCACTATTTATTATACTTGAAAGAATCCCTTGATTAAATTATATCTAGCATTTTATTTGCCATTTAAGTTTTCAGTTCATTAGACTATTATTCTTTGACAGTTTCTGCCTTGTGTTTATTGCCCTTCTTTATTTGCTTTATTACTAACTTCCATTTTCTAGTTACTCTTAAATGCTGCCTTCACAGGGTTAATTTGGCTGTTAATAGTGATTAGAATTTTTATTACTTAATTGATAATTTTAAATCTATGAACTGGGTTTCCCTATGAGATTGAAAGTGAAAGTCTAAGAATAATGCCTGCTGGCTTTGGAGATACTTGCCCTGCTTAAAAATCTATAATTTTAAATTAATTCTACATCTACAATTATTAAAGGAAGTAGTTATTTGGATTCTTCCACTCACCCTTTTCTCAAAAACAACAACAAAAAAATCTCATTTGCTTTATTTTTCTGCTTTATAGTAGGCCTGACAGAAACATACCGAAGCAATCTGGCAGACAACGTGTGGTAGATTTTATGCTAAATGTTAATGTAACCTCTGTTGATTTTTTTAAAAATGTGTTTATATATAAGATTTGAAATAAAAACTTTAATACAGGCTAGAATAAGGAATTTTACAAATTCTCTTTAGAGAAACCAACTCTAAAGTTTTAGAGTTGAATTGTGCTCTATTTCAACTCCCTTACCTCTCTAGTTTTCAGTTTATATTAAGTTTTAGTAACTTTGCAGGGCCTTGCAAATTAATAACCTACATGAAGTATATTATTAGAGGGAAACTAATCTTACTGCTAAGCAGTGTGTTGTACTACATAGTGAATGTTTGTGTTTTGGAATTTAAAAATTATTTAAGGTAATGGTGTTATGAATGGTTTAAAAATGTCTGGTGACTTGCTTATTTTAAGTGATCACCATTAAGTCAGAAAAATGTATTTTTAAATGTTTCTTGAAGTGCCTTTTGAACATTTTTAAACAGCGGATTTAAATAATGCATAAAATAAATTGCCGTGTTCAAAGTTGTTTCATCTGATTATTTTTAACCAATATAAAAGTTGTGAGATAAATGTTGTCTTTTATGGGTAGTTTGGGGTTATTTTTCCAAAAGTATAAAATTGTTTTCCCATCAAAGCTATTTAGTTTGAATAGGCTTACATAAGTTTTACTGCAATATGTATTACTTACTTTAAAGCAACAAAATATTCCACCTCTGACTGAGAATAATATACTGTGAAAAAATTGGAAAAACTCTGTAGTCCAGGTAAGTGTGTCTGGATGGGTGGGGGCAGAGGAGGGGAGAGAATCTCATATATTTAGAGAGAGATTGCTTCTGTGCTCCTTGGTATATTTTGATCTACTGCATACACAGAGAAATTAGTTTATTCAACAAATAATTGTGCCAAGCATCTGCTAGAAATACAGTGGTGAGCAAGACATACAGGATGTCTTAATTCTAGAGTTAGAAAATAAGCTAGTAGATGAATAAACAAAGTATTTCAGAGAGTGGTATTAGGAAAATAAAAATATTATCAGAACAATTTTCTGGATGGGGTATTAAGGAAGACTAGGAAGTAACATTTGAGCAGAGACTTGAATGTTGAATAACAGACACTTTATGTGCTTCAGAAATTACTTTTATCTATGAAATTATTTGTTCCAACTATGTGTTTAAAAAACAAAAAAGTTTCCACCCTTGCTTAATCATGCTGTGGGTATATGTATATATGAAGGCTTACTGAAATGTAAACTATAGGCTGAAAAACTTTGTGTTTTTAGGCATACTTCATCCAGAGCTCAAGTCTATTGATTTGTCTGGGAGTTTCAGGATATGAATAAAAATAGACCTAGTATTTTATGTCTTCCTAGGCAAACAGTTACAAATTTCATAAGGCCCTTGAGTCTAGCGTATATGTCTTGATTTTTCAGTAATCTACTACCCAGTATGTTCTCTATTAGCATGTGTGTGTACGCATGCAAGCATGCATACACACTGTTATTTGGATTAGACAGCTTTAGAAAAGCTGAGGAGACAAATACCACTTCATACTACTTTAGTAGTAGAGTTGTATAATTTAACATATTCAGACAGCTAAATATTTTCCAACTAGCCGTACTGATAATTGTTAAGTCATTGGGAAGTAGATATATTTACCTAAATATATACAATTAAACCTATTTTAAGTTTTCCAAAGGTATGACTTCATAGTACTGGAAAGGATACAAGAAGATTCTTGCTGAATTTATCTCCTTGTTAAGGGGAAGTACTCTACAGAGCTAAACACATTTTTCATCTTAAAGTCTAATAATGCTGACAATATGGATTGTCCAAAGGAGTTTTTTTAGTGGTTAAGAATGAATGAACATTTAACAACTGAAGTTGAATAAGTTCAGCAACATTGGCATTCTCCAAATACATCTATATTAGTAAAACAGAAGTGAACTTTGTTTTGCCATGAGTTTGTTACTAATTAATACATTTTGTATTGCTGCCTGGAACTTAAAACTGTCTCTGCATTGCATCATTTCTTCTACCAAATGTGCTAGTGTTTCTTGTATTGTTACCAATATTGCTTTTCTCCAGGACTGAAAATTTGTCCAGGGGATTATATACTTTCTTACATATTGCCCCTGTGTAGTGCAGTTGAATACAACAGCTTACTTTGAAATAACAAAATACTCATTTTTTTAAAAATGAGATTCAATCCTAGAACTTAGGCTCTTTGGCTTTTCTAATGAATGCCTAGTGAAAGATTAACAGTACTTCTTCATTTCTAGAACTGCTGAATAATGTGCTGTCATAGAACTAATTTGGTTACAGTGTCTTCATTTTTACAACTAACCAGGTTTCGACTTTTGTAAGCTTCAATTTTTTTTTCATAGAACTACCTAAACTGCATTGTCTCCCCTTCTATAAGAGTTCATTCTCATTAATTTTCTTGTCTAATTGTTAGATTGTGGAAAGGTGGTGATTTGGAAGAGAAGTAATATTCAACTTTTCCTTTAGTTCTACTCATGACTATCTCCCTTGTTTTTATACTTTTTGGTGGGGTGTGGGTAGGTGAGTGTGGGTGTGTATATGTCAGAGGCAGAAAGAAAAAGGATAGTTATGATTTTAATAACTGGATTTTTAATGTAATTGAAGTATTAAAACCACTGCTTTTTTCTGTTGATTAGGTTTATGTAATAAGCAGTTTATTTGATGAAGTGAAGGTAACTATGTGTTTAGAATAATTGACCACAGAGATAATTCCTGAGTTTTAAAGTAATTTTTACAAACCTGCTTGCCTGACTGAATTTCTTTTTTGGCCTTTGAATTTATAGCTGTTGGAACCTTCTCCTACTCATCTCTCATTCCATGGTTTTTTCTTTTACCCTTTCTTTTTCTTCTAATTGGCAGCAGCAAGTCTTTAGTTTCTCAAGACTTTTTATTGCCCCCATTCTCTTTTTTTTTTTTTTTTTTTTTTAATAGAAACAGGGTCTTCTTGTGTTGCCCAAGGTGGTCTTTAAATGGTTTGGCCTGCCGGAGTGTTGGGATTATATGCGTGAGCCACCATGCCCGGCTGCCTCTGTTTTCTATCAAAATGGATGTGTTTTAAGACTTTTTTTTAAAATTGTGTATCTTTTGTGAACCTCAGTTCCCTCTCACCAGCTTAGAAGTTGCTGAAAGAAGGAAGAGAGAGCACTCAGAGAATTGGTGCCCGCATTATCCTGCAGTTTCCTCTTTCTTAAGGAAATCTTTTCTTCTAGAACTTACTCAGTAAAAATATGGGTGCTTAAAAACTTGAAAACCAGTGGGGAGAAAAACTTAACCTTTATAGATAAAAGATTTCAGTGTTCAGTATTAAGGCAGTCCTCTCTTACATCTTAAAAATGGTCACTGCGAGCTGTTGAATAAAATGAGTATAACCTCAGAATACGAGACCTTCCACAGCCTGGCCCTAGCATGTATTCCCTTTTTAAAAATTTGCAATTCCTTACCTAAACTCCAGACAAATTCAGTTCCAAATCATTTAACCAACATTTGAGTGCCTACTAAAAGTATTGATCTAGATAATAGGGATAAAGTGGCAAATTATATTTGTTGCTGTCAAGGAACTTACCTTCTATTAGAAGCAAAGTACCCAAAAAAATAGTTGTGTGCAGTAGAGTTATACTCTCAGGCAGTGTGCTAATTGTTTTACATTGCATTATCCTATTAATTCTTGCTACATTCCTGGTGGATGGACTCTACTATCTACCGTTTCAGGCATCTGCTGGGGATCTTGGTATGTATCCCCCGTGGTAAAGGGGGAACTACTGTATTTTATTTGTTAACCTCCAGCACTTTACAAAAAAGGCTTTACAAAAAAGGGGAACTGAAAGCACCAGATGTTATATAGAAGAAAGAGTGTGAAGCAAGAGACTGTTCTCGAAAGGGGCCATTTAAAGCATTTCATTTCCATATGCAGCCATAAAACTTCCATCCACATCATTCAATGGCTTTTCTACTCTTAATTCATATTGCTAAGAAAACTTCTGGCTTATTCTTCTTGTTAAAGTTTATGAAGTATCCTGATACCAGGGAGGAAAAAATGCCATTTCTATGGCATAAGCCCATTAACCTACCCAAGTTGTCAGAATCAAGAGGAGGTGTTTGAGAAATTGTTTCCTCTTTTTAAACATTTAACTTTTTTTTTAAATTTTTTAATTTTTTAAATTTTTCTTCAAAACTTACAAACAGTACACATCATCATATCTTGTGAATTTACTACCAACTTGTACTAAATAAGTCATCTTTCCATCAAAAAATTGATAAGCTCCATTATTTTAAAAAAAACAAACATTCATTAAAGGTGAACATTTCAAAGATGAAAATTTTAAGAGAACCCCAAACTCCACCATCCCCCAAAGTAATTCCAATTAATGCATAAATATAAATTGGATATTAAGCTAAATAGAAACTGTTTTATAAAAGTGAGATAATATAACAAATGCTAATTTTAACATTATAATTTAAAGAAATACAGTTGCTCTTGATCTGGCCAAAATCTGCAAATTGTCCTGGGGGCAGGGAGAGGGGAATGTCATCTTAGCAGCAACAAAATTGAGTGATTTCTTTGGGAGGGAGAGATGGAGAGACGAAGAACAGACTGGACTTAGGCTTCTCTGTAGCAACATTCAGTGCTAAAGCAGAGCGAAGCAAAGTCTACCAGATTCTTGGGTGGGGAGGAAGCCAAGTGATTTCAAATGTAAGGGTAAATTAAAAGAGGGTGGACACTTCTTGAAGAATCTAGATGATGAGGCCCATCTAAAGAGATGAATGGACAAACATTGAGAACAGGACTGGTGCTGGTTATTTAAATATGTAGTTGTAGAATTATTTAAGGCTATAGAAGCATATTGAAATGTTATACCTCTTGATATAGAAAAGATTAACATGTTAGAAAATAGAATATCAAGGACAAGGTAAGGGGTAATATATACATGCCCTAATTGGTTTTACTTTTCAGAATGTAATAGAAATTTTGTAAAATTGATAATATATCAAGCAATAAGGATGTAATATTCTGAATACAGTTATGAAGGTAATCACCAAAACTCTAAGCCTGATAACTATTAAAATGAAAACACAAAATTAAAGATAACACAGGCCATGTAAGAAAGCTAAAGGGAGAATTTAAAATAGGAAGATGACAGAATTAAGACCAAACATAGATATGATGTCAAATAAGGATAAATATGATTAACTTATAAATGTATGAATATATAAAAACTGTTGGCAGTACCTCTGGGGAAGGGTACTAGGATTGGAAAGAAATTGAATAATTCACTATTTTCCTTTTTGAACTTTTAAAAAATCATGTTTATGTTGTCACAGTTTAGAGAACTATAGTGGGAAAAAAAAGCTGTCGGCCCTGGGTCCCTAGGGTTTTTACAACCAGTGGTGAAGAATGTCCACAGACGTTCTTAAGCAGCAGTAGAGGTAAGCAGGTACACACATGAGCTGGAAGGATCTCAAAGCTGATTTGGGTTGTTTTATCTT